GAGAAGAAAATGAGAGAGAGAGAGAGAGAGAGAGAGAGAGAGAAATAGAGAAAAAATAATAACTGACTCATTAACCTACAAAACATGACATAAGCTCAGTTTCATTTACTGTGGAATGACCCTAAATTTTTACCTCCAGTTTGGAATCGATTCCTAACTTGAATTTTTCACATTAGCCCCCAAGAATTTCTGAGAAGTTGTCGCCAGTAGTAAACCAAACAAATAACTTTAATTGCAAAAGCAGACTTATTTTGAAATAAAGTCTTTCAAAAAGTTTTGTGCAACTAAATAAAAAAGACTCCTAATTCAGGGCATGGGTGTGTTTTGCTAGGTGTGTGGCACAGAGTCAAGGGGGAGAGAACGGGGACGGGCGGGTGTTAAAATGTCCAGTTGGGTGTGAGGGTCTCCGGGTGTCTGGGGGGTGGGAATAGTGTTTACTCTGAGCAGGGAGGCGCCTGGGTTGGGCTGGGGGAACTGGAGCTGTAGCAGCAGCTGGGAGGCCTGGGGGAGTAGCTTGTCCTCCATTCTCCACCCCCACCCCCCCCAACACACACCCGGCATCTGCCATCCCTCCCTCCGCCCCCGGCTCCAGTTTCTCAGCAGGCAGCAGGAGTCAGGTTCAGCTTTTGTTCAGCTCCCCGAGGGAAGAAAGCAAACACCCGTGACTGCAGAGATCCCACCTCAAGTCTCTGCGGACCTTTATTCCTCTCTTCTCAGCACACACGGTCCAGCCCTCACACCTTTGCTCCAGTCCTTCTCTGCTGCCTCCCGCTCCGTTCTGCTCCCTCTAATACCAGCCTTTTCTTCAAGGCCCCGGCAGGTGGCAATACTTGAGCTGGGCCTTTCGCAGCCCTCTCTGGGCCTCGGTGTTCCCATCCATCAAATAGGAGTTAACTGGGGCTGGTCTCCCACGGACCTGCTGCCCTGATTTCAGGTTTTGAAAAATCCCACAAGAAAGAAGATTGGAGTGTTAGAGATTCATAGACTCCCAATGCCTCAGTGCTTCCTGGAAAACCAATCTCTCTCTTTCTTTCTCTCATATTTATTCAACAAACATTTATTAAGCACGTACTGTGTGTCAGGCCCTGTTTAGGTTCTTATGTGGTTTAATGCTCTGTTCTCACTGTCCTGAAATTATTATTTAAACATAGTCATCTTTTTCTTTTAATATATATATGTTTTTTACTGATTTCAGGGAGGAAGGGAGAGGGAGAGATAGAAACATCAATGATGAGAGAGAATCATTGATCGGCTGCCTCCTGTACACCCCCTAATGGGGATCGAGCCCGTAACCCGGCATGTGCCCTTGACTAGAATGGAACCTGGGACCTTTCAGTCTGTAGGCCGACGCTCTATCCACTGAGCCAAACCAACTGGGGCTATTTTTTTCTCTTTATTTTATTTTTCCCTCCATCACCATTTATCCCTTTTATATCCTCCCCCACCTCCACCCACCCCTTACCTTGAAATTCTTTTTTCTAAATATATTTTTATTGATTTCAGAGAAGGGAGAGGGAGAGAGATAGAAACATCAATGATGAGAGAGAATCATTGACCAGCTGCCTCCTGCACGCCCCCTGTTGGGGACTGAGCTGGCAACCTGGGCATGCGCCCTGACCGATTGAACCGTGACCTCCTTGTTCATAAGTCAATGCTCAACCATTGAGCTACACAGGCCAGGCTTATCTTGAAATTTTTTGTTGTTATTGTTAATCCTCACCCGAGGATATTTTTTCTGTTGATTTTAAGAGAGAGTGGAAAGGAGGAGGAGAGATAGAGAGAAACATCGATGTGAGAGAGACATATTGATTGGCTGCTTCCCACACGAACCCCAACTAGTGCCAGGGACCAAGCCTCAACCAAGGTATGTGCCCCTGACTAGGAAATCAAACCTGAGACCCTTCAGTCTGTGGACTGATGCTCTAACTACTAAACAAAACCGGGGGGGCTTACCTTGAAATTCTTAATAATTTTTTTTTAACAAGGGAGCCCCGAATTTTCCTTTGGCACTGGGCCCTGCAAAATCTGTCCCCAGTACCTGCTAGGGATACAGCAGTAACCAAGATGGACCAAAATCCCTGCCCGTGTGGAAATGACTTTCTAGGGGAGAGGCCAAGAAGAAACAGAATGGAAGAAGAAAAAAAGAAAAAGAAACAATGTTTTCAGAAAGGTACACAGTATGACATCAGATGGTGACAAGAGCAATGAAGGAGAAATAAACCCTACGAAAGGGCTAGAGAGTGACAGGGTGGTCAGAGCAGGCTGTCTGAAGGAGTGGCTCCCAGTGCAGACAATGGTAGAGGAATCAGCCATGTGGGCCGCAGGGGAGGGATGGCGCCTGGAAAGGAGGCTGTGGCAGGACGGATTGGGCCAGGGGAAATAACGTAGGGGGAGATGAGCTCAGGCACCTGACAAGGGGCGGGGGTGTTTAGAACAGGGGTGGGCACATTTTTCCTGTTCAGGGCCAGACAGTAAATATTTTTGGATTCTTGGGCTCTCAGGCCATGGCCGTCTTTAATGGATGGGCGTGGCTCTGTCCCAATAAAACTTTATTTATGGACCCTGAAATGTAAATTTCACATGATTTTCACGTGTCACGAAATACTATTCTTTTTCTTTTCTCCCAAGCATTTATAAGTGTAAAATCCATTCTGAGCCCTTGAGCCTGACAGACCAGGCAGGGGTGGGATTTGGCTGAGGATCATCACTGTTTGCAGATCTTGCCGCAGGACTTCCTGGGCCTGTGAGCAGTCTGCATTTTATGCAAGTAAGATCGCTGGTATTGCATGTAACATTATTATATTTAAAATCATTTTTCTTCAAATATTAAAATATTAAAAACTAGAGGCCCGGTGCATGAATTCATAGATCAGTGGGGTCCCTCGGCCTAGCCTGCGGGATTGGGTTGAAACCGGCTCTCCAACGTTTCCCAAGAGGTCCCGGATTGCGAGAGGGCACAGGCCAGGCCGAGGGACCCCACCAGTGCACAATTGGGGCCAGGGAGGGATGCGGGAGGTTGGCCAGCCGGAATGGACTACGGAGGGCTCCAGAGCATGTCCAGCCCTCTCACTCAGTCCCAATCGGCCAGACCCCAGCAGCAAGCTAACCTACCAGTCAGAGCATCTGCCCACTGGTGGGCACATCATAGCAAGCAGTTGAGTGGCCTTAGCATATCATTAGCATATTATGCTTTGATTGGTTGAATGGCCGACCAGACGACCAGACACTTAGCATATTAGGCTTTTATTATATAGGATATTAAAAATATTTAATATTGCCCTAACCAGTTTGGCTCAGTGGATAGAGTGGCGGCCTGCAGACTGAAAGGTCCCAGGTTCGATTCCGGCCAAGGGCATGTACTTTGGTTGCGGGCACATTCCCAGTCGGAGGTGTGCAGGAGGCAGCTGATTGATGTTTCTCTCTCATTGATGTTTCTAACTCTCTATCCCTCTCCCTTCCTCTCTCTGAAAAATCAATAAAATATATTTAAAAAAATATTTAATATTAAAATATTAAAAAAATAGAAATAATTTTAAAAAGACACCTGGGGGGGAAAAAGACCCTGAGAGGCTTTGGAGCAGGAGAGAGAAAGAGAGGATCTGATGAAGGCTTTAGGAAGCTGGTAGACAAGGAAAGGGGATCAGGCTAAAAGCTGGAAATCCAAATGGAACCTTGGTGATGGGGCTGGACCACCAGTGGGAAGGGGTGGACTTGAACGTAGTTTACATCAGTGGGGTTGGCTGGTAGACTGGGTGTGCAGTGAGAGAGGGGTCAGATGATGCCAAAACTTGGCTTGAGCCCCTGGGGGGACGGCAGTGCCCGTGGCTCACTGTGGGGGCCTTCCAGGAGGAAACCTGAGGCCTGAGCCAGGAGATCCATTTCAGTCTCTTCTCTGGACAAGCCAGCCCCTTGGAGTTAGAGCCAAAGGCTGTGTCTTCTCTGTCTTTCAGGGAATTAACTAAGCACCGGCTCTGCCCTACGCCCCCAGGACTCAGCATTAGAATGCACACAGGTCCAGCCACACCTTTTTTTGATCAGTGACCCACATTTATGGCACATTTACTATCTGCCATGCACTGTGCTGAGTGCTTCACATATAGTATCTCATGTGGTCCTCCAATAACCCTCTGCAGTAGCTACTGTTTATTCTGGAACCCATTTCCCAGATGAGGAAAGTAAAGTCCAAAGCAGGTAAGTATCTTAGTGGAGTCACATGGTACACGTGGCGGTGCAGGGAGTGAGGCCCTGGATTCAAATTCGGGTTGATCAAGCTGCAGATCCCCACTGGGGGTTGAGTGAGTGAATGAGTCAGTGAATGAATGATGGGTGAGTGAATGCATGAATTGATGAGTGAGCTGGGACGTCAGGGCGGCAGTGGGAGGCTCTGTCTGTCCAGGGCTCAGGCCAGGAGTCTCCTGCCAGCCCTGGCCAGCTTGAAGGAGGTGGAGACCACACAGTAGGCAGTTCCTGGGAGACACAGTGGGCAGCTGCAGGGAGGAGGGAGCCGAGCCCCTTGGCTACATCTCAGGGCGATCAGGTCCGGTCA